AAGTATCAGATTTTCTCTTCAGCCAAGCTAAACATCGGTTTAGCTGGAAAGATAAAGTGCTCTGTGGAGAAGTGCATTGAGGGAGGCTAAACTAAAGCAGGGAGTTCAATCATAACAAGTGTGAATGGCTATTAATTAAGACTGAGGGGAAAGGATCCTCAGCGTAATCATCAAGTTCATTAACTGCTGGGATACACAAACTGCTGAGTTTAGCAAAAGAACAGAACAGAAGCCAACTGTGTTTCTTTGCATTTTATTCATTTTAAGACTTAAGGGGAAGAAAATAACCTGCAGAGCATTTCTTGGATGAAAGGCTTAATTAGATAGAAGTGATATAAAGTGCAAAGTTAGTGGCAGCCATTTGGACATTACAGTCAGAACAGGTGAGTAGACTAAATTTTCCTCTTCACACAACTTTATTTTTCTTTTTTGAAACTTTGACAGCAGGATAAAAACTAAGCGTTTTTTTTCTCTCTTCTCTTTCCCTCTGTTATTGAAGGCTTTTTTGTATTATTACTATTGTTGTATTGATAAGAGTATTTTTTTTTCTTAGACACTAATTTTGTTAATATATATGTATGCTTTATACTTGGGTGTGTGATTTTTGTATGTTGCACTTTGAAAACTTAATAAACATATATTTTAAAAAAAAAGGAAAAACTAAGCGAAAAAACTGCAGCATTTAGTTCCTATGCTCCACTTACCTGGAACAAACTTCCAGAAAACTGTAAATGCCTGAGTTCCTTTAAATCAAGATTAAAAACACATTTGCTTAGGATTGCCTTCGACTGTTCTAGTTAAACAGTTCTACTGAAACATCATTAGTTCAACTTCTTTATTTTCTTTAGTCCTACTTTTTTTCATATTCTTTTTTGTTTCTACATTTTTTATTGATTTTTTTCCTACTTGCTTTGATTCTGTTTTATTTTCCTATATTTAAGTAATGTAAAGCACTTTGCATTGTCTTTGTACTGAATTGTGCTATACAAATACATTTGCCTTGCCTTTATATTAATGTTAGTTTGGTTGTACCTGGAAATGCTCGTATTCATTGAGGAGATACCGGCTGTCCGAATTTAAAACGGTTCCTACACATTAATAGAGCAAAATTTCTACACCTATAAATCCTCCACCATTTAAGTTCATATACATTTATAATATGCTGAAGCATTTTAAAGTGTTACAGCACGTAAAAAAAAATCTGAAATCCAGAAACAATTCGGAAGGAAGGGTTAAGATGGGAGAGAAATTAATATGGGAAAGTTTGGGGGTTATTATGATTTCTGTTGTTTTTATCATTTTATTCTTTTATATGTTTTATATTGGTGTCAATCATTTGTTTTTCTATATGTTACTCTCATCATTCGAAATTGTGTATGAAGGTCATAAGACAGTCAAATGTTTTGCAAGAATGCTTTCCTGTTTTTGAGAAGCAAAGTGAAAAGTCATAACTCAGACACCTTGTGTAAGCGTATACTGAAACCAGGCAAATTCCCCATCTTAAAAGTTTATGCTATGAGAAGCAGAGAAGTGAAAGGTCATAACCCCGACACCTTGTGTAAAGTGTATGCTGAAAACCAGGCAAGTTCATGCTATGTCTAAGAGACTGCGTAATCGAAACTAATGCCTGCTGTTGTAATGTGTTGACTGCTCAATAAAAAGCCTGGCAAGTGTTGAGCTAAGCGGAGATGCAGAGATTGACAGTTCAATTCTGGACTCCCCTTTGCAAATGATTTTTCAGGAAAAATCTTACGCTGTCTTTGTTTCCATTTTTTATAGGTTAAGGTTGGGGAAACCTAACAACCCTAACAGAAAGGATGGAAGTGTGGAAAAGATGAAGGATGAAAAGAAGAGAAGTGAATGGAGGAAATATTGACACAAGGAACAAAGGATAGGGAGGATGGAAAGAATGAAGAAACAAGGAAAGGGAAATGAAAGGCTGAAAAACAGTAGAATAGTAGGAAAGATGTGATGTAAGGACAGAATGGGAGGAAGATATGCAAGAAAAAACGAATCTCAATCCTTCAGAATCCTTTTGATGTCTTACCTTTCCAGGCTACTTAAGAACCATTTATTCAATTTTCACCTATTTTTCCTTTTCACTGAGGATTGTAACTCATGTCCATGAAAATGATTTACAGCAATGAACTGAGGAAGGATTTTTTTCAGCTTTTGGGAAATATTAGTGTAACACAACCTTAAAAGAATGGCATTTGTGAATTTTTGGAATATAACATTTTTAATTTTACTGAGGGTGCCAAAGACAAAACACTAGCTCAGAGGGGACTGTGATTTTTTCTGTTGCAGCCCCTAAGCAGTGTTGTGGTCAAGACCACCTAACCCGAGTCCAAGACAAGACCAAGACCAGAGTGTATCGAGACA